CACCCCTTTTTAGCTTTTTCAATAAGCAGTATTCCTGTGCCATCTGGTCATCATCCTCAACTGATTAAGCCTGTCTTTGACTGGCTGTTTTCTTCCTCATTACAGTGGATGTAGTGGTTGAGGCTGCTTTTGGCTTCTGTACCTTCTATTGTTGTTCAGCTACTTTTTTTGCCTGCAAGTTCTTTTTTCTTTGTTTCTCACGAGATTTATCCCTGCATAATGGATTTACCGATTATCTAGTGCATTGTATACTAAAAAAGAGAGTCCAGTAGGACAATTAGCATGTTCATTCTTGTTTGAATGATTCAGGATAATAAGCTTAATTTTTAGCATCAACCAAGTAAATGCAACAACAAATTTCACTAGAACATTCATATAGTAGCATCCTAAATTTCTCAATGCGTGTTGATAACTAGCATATTCAAGTTGTTGCCTCGAAAGGATCCAACTCTCCTTGACGAGATGAGGCTAATAAAACCACAATTGGGTGGCAGACCCAAATATATAGTTCTTGACTCGATGGGCAGGACTAGGTTAAGCTGACATTTCACATCCCCACCCTACCCTCCACCCAAAAAGAAAAAAAATGGAAAATCCCAAAGCCAAAGGAAATTCCAGAACTAAAAGAGCAAAATGATTAACTAATAGCAAGTATGTCAAATCCTATGAAGTAAGCTGAAAGCTTTGAGAAGATTCTTACTTGTACTTGATCTCATCAAGGCTTATATCTTCAAGTGGTGTAAAACCTTCAGTAGAAAGATTGTGATGCTTCAGGTCAAGCGTTGCAGGGAGCAGCAATAAGCCATAACCCATGCCCAATTTCCCAATCTCAAGTTCTTTCCACCTGCAGAAAGGAACAATGAGTTTTCCAAGAAAAAACAAGATTCCTATTGAGCGTATACCATAAAATTCACTAGCCTGAATATATAGGAGTAGTGATGCTCTTTGTATGCACGAATATAGGAAACAAAATGCAAGGCTCTAAGCCCTTTTTCCATGACATCACGATCCGTTTTTGTAGCTGACCTTATCTGCAAAATGCAATTCCAATCATTTTATTGACACCATAAACCAAAGTGTATCTAAGATACAGAATTAATGGTGAGGTATTTTCCACCAAACAGATCAAAGTTATGTTTAAGCTGCAGCTCACTGTTACTCATGGCACCAAAGCAAGGATTAGTATTGGGCAAGAATCAATATATTTGATGACATCAGGTGCTGGAAAATTAACATAGTTAGATGTGGCTAGCATCATAAAAGGAAATTTGAAAAGTAGGGGAATGTATGTTTTTGTCATAATTTACACTTCATTAGATGATAACTAAATGCTCCACTTGGCTTCTCCTCATTTTCCTCTCCTACAACAAAGCCATATCATTGGTGGCACCAGGATTCAGCAAAGAGGTACACATACTCATGCATATACCCATACCTATGTAAACTAACATAGAGAGAAGAAACTTTAAAGTAAAGGAGCCATCAAGCAGAAACTCTACATAAGGTATTCCAGACACAAGCCTTTTTGTATGAGGTATTTGCATAAATCACTAGCACAAAATAGCCTCACAGAATTACCTCCTTCGAACCCAAAAAAAAAATCCACTCTCTCCAGCAATACTCACATGCATGTAGAAAAGGAAGGGGGTGGTCCTTATGTAGCCAGTATAAAGGCCAAAAATGCAGAAATGAAAAGAATAAGATTCAAACATAAGTTCATGAACAACCTGTGGGACAATATCACAAATATCATTTGGGCTTTTTCTCTCTTCAAGTGGAACCCTCCTTACTCAAAGGAACTCAACATATGCTTCCTCCTGTTCAAACATACAGGAAAGAAAGCATTCAACTATAAAGCACTTCATAAATGATGTTCTGTAGAAAGCATAAACAAGACATACAAGTCATACAACAAATGCCAAACCTTTGGTAACAAAAACACAATAGCATTTCCTTGCCATCCCAACCTAGCTGTTCGTCCTACTCTATGCAATTTTAGAAGACATAAATAGCCTTTGTAATCTTGCTTTTAAGGGAAAATGCCACAACATTAAAAGAAATTCAGAAAAAAAGGAAATACAAGGGGGAATTAACAATTTATCGAACAGGTTATGGACAATAGCTTCATTGTGTTTACCACTTTTTCTTTTTTAACAACATATGCCAACCTCTTCCCGCTTTGCCAATATTGAACTCCAATCTTCTAACTTTCACTCCTTGCCTGCCCTTCCAGATGTCTTAACTATCACATAGCTGCTTGTTTTTGTCTGGTTGTTTATAATCAGTCCAATTTTAGCTTAAAAATTTACTGTTTTTCGGATTGCAAAAAGTGTCAATATTACCAGCCAAACGGAAGCCTGGCAAAGAAACAGTATAGGAGAAATTTAGCCGAGGGACAACAGTTGAAGTTAGAATAGATGAAGATGGTTTTCAAGGTGCTTGGATTCCTGCAACTGTCATCAAACAATTTGACGAGGACAAATACCTAATTCAATATCGGAGTCTGACAAACGAAGAAGACACAGAATTCTTGAAAGAGGAGGTTGCTAGTACAAACATACGACCACATCCACCGAGTAGCTTGTTTGCGGAGAGGTGAGAGAGACGAGAAACTTTTGAGTATTTCACTGAGTGTTTTGGCAAATGAATCTTTTGCCAAAATCAAACGATGTCGTTTTGTGTCTTTCTTTTTTTTTTTTGGTACATCTCTCATTTTCTCAAGTGTCATGATAGGTAGTTTAAAGGCATATTATTATTTTTTATCAGATAAAATAAAAAAATTAGAATATATATTATTGAGTTGATAATAAGTGTCATGATAGGAATGCTATAATGACACAAACCAGCACAGGAAAGGCCATTTTTGTTGTAGTGTTACTTTAACCTGTAAGTCAGAATTTGTCCGTTCAAAAAGATTCAAGAATTTGGGACATCGGAAAAAGTGTTAATCTGCAATTTTTACTTCCATATAACCTAATAACTTTGAGAAACTCTTGAACCTTGATTGAAGTGAAACTTTTGTAACTTGATTTGAGGGAAAATTTCTAGATACCATTGGAAGGTTGAAGCATCCAACTCAAGTAATGTAACATTTCTAGCTTTCTTCAATTACTGGCATATTTGAGCCTCCATAACAGAGGAAGCAGAGGCAAAGGGCTTGTAATGATTAACAATAATCAATTTTGGTGGACCTAAAAGCATAATTTGCCGCACTTAAGTACTAAAGAGTAGTAGGAAACTTGTACCATTATTCTGGCTCATCTAATTTTTACCTAGGCCACAGGCTGTACTCAGCTCACATAAGAAAGTGCTTCTGCCCCCTTAACCCTATACAGGCATTGCTTCATCAATGTTTATTTTCAAACTTTACCAGAGATATCCCCAATTAGTCATCCCGGTCCACAGATTCAGGTTTGGAGTTTACCAAGTTACCTTCTAGTAACCTCAAGGATCATAAAAGGCCTTAGCAGATGCATCCAAAACAAATATTCATTTGTCAGACAAGCAAATAGAGTTTTGAAGTATCTTTATTAGATCACTTTCAAAGCCTTTAATACAAGATGCTGAGCTCACTAAAGTTATTGATACTTCAAAGAGCTTGGAAACCCTTCCAGCAGTGGCTGGAGCAGTGGCTTATGTCCACTCCAGGCAATGTTATCTCCATCTGGTTTGTTAAAATGGAAATTCTTGAACTGTATTCCTCAGATAAAAAGGTCAAGAAAAGATCTCATTGTCTATAACCTTGAAGCGAATATTTCAATGTCAGATAAAAAACTTAGAAAGACATGAATGATTGCATAAAAGTAGATGGGAGTATACAAAAATTACAACTTAATATGGGAAAATGCTAGTGATTACTTATTCAGGCAGTTAATAATTGTAATACTAGAATGGTTACTTTGAGACATGCAGCAGCAACAAATTTAACGATCATTTGAACCAACAAGATCTTTAAAAGAAGAAATGATACGTCAATCAATGTGATTCTTGCAGTCCTCGATACATGTTTCTTTCTATATTATGTCTTATTTTACATCTCTATATATGCCCACGGCAGACCATGCATACATCATGAGAATTACCAGCTATGGCAATATCTTTAGTTGTGCAGCTATTTTGCTGGAGTTGTTAACAGGCAAACAAGCTGTAAATGAAGGAATAGTGTTGGTGAAATGGGTAAAGGACAAAATTGAACATGATCACTTGAATGAAATCCTTGATCCTAGGTGAGAAACACATCTGCAGAGGTTCATCAACAAATGTTATCAATGTTTAAGATCTCTATGCTTTGTGTTAGCATTTCTCCTCATGAAAGGCTTGACACAAAAGAATTGCAGACAATGCTACTTGATGATGCTCCACAATTCAGCGGGTAATATTCCTAGAGGTAACATTAAAGTACTTTTTCCTTCGAAGATTTAAAACTTATACCCGAAAATGATTTAAAACTTTGAAGGAAAGAACATTTACAAATTTTGTTGCTCTAGCATCAATTAAAATTGATTGGAATTGGAAGTGATAATTAACATTGTATCATTACCTTCCATCCTTTTGGAATCGTGAAGCTAGCATACGTGAAATCTGTAATGGCCTCTCTAGAGGCTCCTTGGGCAGGTGGTGTTAATCTTATCGCTTCACATGCCACACACCAAGAGTACTTAATCTTTCGAACATCATTCCAATTCAGCAGCTTTTGAGGACCTTTGGACTCGAAAATCTCCACCATCTCTTCTCAATGCAAGAAGTTTCCAAAATTAGTTAAGCTATTGGATATTAGCTTACCAAGTTGAATCTGAAATTTTGAATTAAAAGATACAAATATTTAAATTGAAGCCTTGCTAATCAAAGTAGTGGAGAAGATTTTGAAGGGTCAAAACCATTTTCGGGTATTACCTTTATAGACCTAATTGTAAATGTGGGGAAGTTCTGCAAGATAGTTCAAGACAAAGGTTGCTGCAGCACTTGTGGTATCATAGCTAGCAACCAGAAGTCCCATGATATTATTCCTTAGAGAAACTACCATTTTCATCACTTTGAAGCAGCAAACGAGATAACATGTCTAAACCTTCAGCAGCAATATTCCTATTATCTAAGAGCTCTGTTTTCCTCTTCTTCAAGATCTTTAAAATCTCATCCTTTACTAAATTGCCTCCTTTCAAAGCTTTATTATAAGCCGTCCCAGGCAAATCAATTGGGATAGAATACATCCCAGATAAAGCAACATTGAAGGAATTAGACAATGTTTTAACAACTTTATGATCTTCAACGCCCAAAAACAATCTACAGGCCAATGAAAATGTATACTTCTTGGACAAAGGATAAACCTTCACCTCTTTAAAAGGAGCCCAATTAGTCTCGAGCTGATCACGAGCCATAGAATCCGTGATTGGAATATAATGTTTTAGAGCTTGAGGCTTCAGAATTTCTTCAATAGAACTACGATTTTTTGCAGTGAATTCCTTCAAGGAATTTTCTCCAGGAGACAGAAATTGTAAAGGCTTGATTAGTGATGCAGACTACCAAGTTGCTAGAAGATTGTTCTCATTAGAGAATAAAAACTTGTTTTCTACTGCTCCACAAAATACTGCCATTTTTTCTCCAAGTAAGGAGGTTTTGAATACTTCTTCACTCTCTCCTGAATAAACTTCTCTGGCCTGATGCGGCTAACTTCAAATTTTCTCCAAGAATAGGCTATCCCAGTGCACCTGGTGGTAGTTTTGAGCTGCGATTGTGAGAAAAGATGTAAATAAACAGAGAAACAAAGAGAACTAATGAGGATCAAGAAAGAAGTGAGAAAAACCTCCATGGTTGTTTGTCTTCAGGCAAAAAAGAAGCAAGAGTTATATGATATGTGGCAATAACTAGTGGTGTTACTTATTTATGAACCGCTGCATGTTTTTGTTTTTGTTTTTTTTTTTTGGTGTGTGTGTGGAACATACTATGCAATTTGGATACTGTCAAGCATGTTGATCTTATTAACGCAGCATTCATCGAATTGACTTTTGGTTTAATGCTTAGAAAAAGTGCAACAGTATGCTCCCTCTATTTGTAGGAATACAAGTTTTTATGGAGATAAGTGGAAATTGTGTATCGATAAATTGCCACCGAATAAATTTAAATATGTCACACATGAAATCAAAATACTCTTTTTTTTTTACACTAAACTTGCCCACTCCTTCCTATACCCTTCCTATCAACAACTATCAAAATTCAAAATACTCATTTATTACACACATATTTGTATGTAGAATACTTTTTCAAATTACAAAATTGTAAAGCAACTAATGTTCTATATGGACTTCAAGATTTTCCTACTCATTTAAGGGTTCTTAGATTAGATTGAATGCACATTGTTTATATTCAATTTCCTTAGAGTTAATGATTTGGTTGTGCTATGCTTATTTGTAACTTATGCTTATTTGTAACTTTTGAGAACTTAGACTCCAAAACCCCCTCTATGTATCTACTTTTCTATTTATCAAATTTAAAGGTTAGCATCCCTCTCCTAGATTTGCGATTTAATTTAAAAATATAAGTAGATAAATATATTGACTTCAAAATATAACTTTGACTTTGGTCATAAAAAAATAGAATTCTAAAGTTAAATATGGGAGAGTGGGGATCTTATCCTTTTAAAAGTCCAATATGCTTCTCTAGAACACGCAACCTAAACCACCTTTCTTTATTAGACTTTTCTTGGCACTTGTAACACACTAATTTTTACCTTCAATACATAATGCAAGGATAGAATGAAAACAAACTACTATTAAAAAAATATCATAAATGTATATGATGCCCTTTGTTGCTATTCTTTTATTAAATAATCCTTTCTTACCAATACATTATTCCAAATTTTTGGATTAATGATTTTATATCACATTTTGAATTAGCTATAGTTTATTTATAACATACCAAAAGAAAATGACTATTTATTTGATCAACCAAAAATATTTGGAATAAGTAACTGATTCGTTGATTGTGTAAAAAAAGTAACTAGTAATTTCCATTGTGTTTAATGTTTTTGTATCACTTTGTGAATCACCTATGGCTTATTTATAACATACCTAAAGTAAATGACTATTTATTTGTTCAATCAAAAATATTTGGAAATTATTAACTAATTCTTTGATTGTGTCAAAAAAGTAACTGGTGTTTTTGTTGTGTCTAATGCTTTTGTATCACTTTGTGTATTAGCTATGTTTTATTTACAACACACCAAAAGCAAATGACTATTTATTTGATCAACCAGAAATATTTAGAAATAATTAACTAATTCTTTGATTGTGTCAAAAAAGTAACTGGTGATTTTTATTGTGTGTAAAGAATTCTACTAATGATTGTGTATCTACTAATTTTTGGACGTCTAAGCCCGAGTTTTTGGATGTAGTGCGGTGCAATTGGAACGTGGGTTTTTCGGGGCCTCCATTAACGGTCCTGGTGGCTAAGCTGCGGAGTGTCAAGGCAGTGTTACGCACTTGGTCTCACGAGGTATTTGGCGATATCTTTGATTCGGTGAAGATGGCGGAAGACTGTGCACTCAATGCTGAGTTGAGCTATGATGCTGATCCATCTGAGGCCAATCTAGTGGTGTTACGTGAGGCTCAGGCTGTGATGCCCCGAAAAAAAATGAGTTTGAGAACCCGGAAATTTTCTAATTTTCTAGGGTTTATTTTTTTAACGCCCGCCTTTTCTACATTTTCTTGATTAGAAAAATTCCCCAGATAAAGTTTATGAGCAAAGATAGTTTTAAAATGATTTTTCTAGTATCAATTAGTTTTTGAGAAATTAAGATCTTATACCGGACGTGGGACCCGCTAGTGTGATATAATTTTGGTGACTAAGTGAATTGTGTGCTAAGTGTTATTATTTTACAAGGTGCTAGGAAATGATTAGAGGGTGGTTATATGATGTAACCATTGGAAGCCAAAAGATTAAAGAAAATACTAGAAGGGCCAAGTGTCACAAACCCATTGCAAGTTGGACCTTTGACTAAGACCATGATTTCTTCTTCTTATCTTGACCAAACCTTTTGTTTTCATCATTTCTTCTTCTTGTAAGCATGATGGACGAAATTTTGAGAGAAAGAGAGAGAATATCCAGCATCTTGCACCTCAATTTCTTCCTCCAATCTTGAGTTCTAACCGATTAAATTGCAAATCACTCCATAAAACTTGCTAGCTAAGGAAGATTGAAGCTATTGGTGGAGTTTTTTTGGAAGAAAAATCCCTAAGCCATCACCTTTCTTGATATTTCAAGGTATCATGTCTAACCATCCTTTCTTTGATCTTGATTTTGTTAAATTAATGACTTGTGATGGCTAATGAGATGTTTTAGTGGAAGATTAGCACTTGAATGCAAAAATTTCCAGATTAGGGTTTTCAATTTCCCCAATTCTGCCTGACACTGTTCATCATAGTTAGAGGCTGAATTGGCCTTAGCACAAAACATGAAAGTTGTAGAGAATGAGATTTTATAGTTGCCTACAAAATTTCAGCTCAATCCAAGTTCGGTAGCCTGTGAAAAGACCAAAATACCCCTGCTGCCCTGTTTCTGTCCGAACCTGGAAATCAGCTTTGGTAATTGATTAGTTTGACTGGGAATACTACTGATTTGGTTGTTGATGTCTTCTTACGAATTCTAGCCTTGTATCTTAGCTTTTAAATGGCTTTGGAATTACCTGATTTGGAGTTGTGTGTGCTGAGTTATGACTGAATGAATCAGGACTGCCACAGTGAGCTTCGAACTAGAAAATCTGGGGCTGTTTTGGTAAATATGACCTAGTTAGGGTGAGAACTAGACTGAGTGGTCTTCATGAAAGTTGTATGGAATGATATTGTAGAGGTGTCTGAAAATTTCAGGTCAATCGGAGTTGCGTAACTTGAGAAAAGATGGAATTACCCTTGCTGCCCTGGTTTTACCTGAATTTGGGAATTGCTTCTGTAATGGGTTATTTTGGTTGGGAATGCTTTGGAATTGGTTGTTGAGGTCTTCTGATGTATTGTAGCCCTGTTTCTTAGCTTTCATCTGGTTTTGGAATTTCTGGATTTGGACTTGGATAGCCTGATTTATGATGTTTCCGCTAGAATGCGTTCTGTGAATATGTTTTTGTCATTCTGGTATAGTTTCTTGCATTTTTGACCTTGTTACACTCGAAACTGGGTTGAGTGATCTTCTGTAATATTGTAGCCCTATCTCTTAGTTTCGAAACGGTGTATCTTGTACCTTCATCCGACAATCGTAGCGCCTTTGGTACCATTACCGCAAAATGACGTCAAAACTGTTTTTCTGGTTTTGAGCTTAACTTTCATTTCCGGACTTTTCCCTAGCTTGACTTGTACTAGTACAACTTGGAGCTTGCTGAATGGCTATTGGAGGAACTTGTTGTTGTGTGTGTACCTTTAGGACTGGCTGAAGAAATAATGAAGCCATGATGGCTGGAAAAGTAAGCAAATTTAGGGGAAGTGCTGTCCGAACTTTTAAAGGACTTGTTTACATTGAGTTTGTGATCTAAGACTTGGATTTGAGCAAGGCAATGTTACATGATGGATGATTTCTGAGCCATGGAGGTGAGTGACCTCAAACTATTTCTGAAGTTATTTATGAACCGTTTCCTGCATTATTTACTTTTGAACTGTTTCCAAAGTTACTTTTGTACCGTTTTCTTGCATTATTTACCTTTAAACTGTTTCCAAAATTACTTTTGAACTGTTTTCTTGCATATCATGCGTGCTTGCATGTGAGTGTTCCTTATTTGCTATATTTTCTTGACTTCATGACTTGTATTATTGATTGATAACGTGTTAAGTGCTTTGAATGATTTCCAAAATGAGTTTTCTAGGCGAGTGTGTACTTTATCGCACTCGACCTAAATAACTGTGCAATTTTCAAGGATTTAATTATTGAAATGCTAGTTGCGCATGATGTAAGCCTTTTGGGCTGAACTGACCATTGCCCCTTGTTACCGGTCGTCTCGAGCCAGAAACGGTTTCGGTCGGGCGATTAGGGACTTGGGTGAACGTTTGGTATACTCGAGTATTACCTTTATAGGTTGGTGGAGGTTGGTGGAGTCTGGTGAATGAAATGAATGACCAAATGAGCGAGGGGTTTATTTATAAAAGAAAAGAAAATGCAATTTTCAAAAGTTTGAAGGAAGGAGGAAATGTCAGGAGAACGAACATATCTTTTCATGAATGTTACTATCGCTTTCCATTGTAAATGTTTCTTGAATTATTGATACTCCATTTTAATGTATTGTAAATGTTGTAATTGTTTCTGGACTTATCATTTGATTCTTGTCATCATTGATTTATGACATCATTGAAATGAACTATTGTGAAACCGATTTGATTACTGATTTTAATGGTTACTCGCTGAGCTTCTAGCTCACCCCAAAAATATTTTATTCCCCTCCACAGGGCTCGTGGCGAAGGAAGGACTTGTAGTACTTGTTCACGTGACTGGATGGCATATATCTTGTACAGTTTGGATTTGGAATCATTTTATGTATAGTTGAAAATTGTTTTCGCTTCGCTTATGACATGTAATTATTGGAGACTTGGATGTGTAATTGTGGGAACATTTGATGTAATATTTGAGATTTATATTGTAATTCATTTGAGGATTGTAGTGAACGACTGAGTCCCGGCGAGAGCTGGGCAGGCGACCCGCCGAACCCTGGGGTACGCCCTAGGGGGAGGTGGGGCCGTCACACAGGCTCAACTTCGGAGGTCGCAAGAGTTTGAGCATATGTTTTGGCAACAAAAATCGAGGATTAAGTGGTTAAAGGATGGAGATAGGAACTCGAGG